GTTTAGATTATTTATTCTAAACCAAACTCATATTTACTTAAAGCTTGACGAAGAAAAGAAAATATTTATAAATGACATTAGCAAAATCATTGTCACAGGCAATTGTTTAGAACGATGAAATTAAAAGTAAGGAAAGCTAAAATTGTTTTTCAATAACCTATTGGCTGTTTGGCCCTTAACATCATGCTTCTCTATTTCGGGTCGGGTCGTAGTGTGATGGATATTACATAGAAAATTACCTTTCTTAGTGAATACTTTATCTAAAAAACGAAACAAGAAAATACATTTTTTTTTAATTTAATACCAGTTATAATGTTGAAAAATAAAGTTTAACAAAAAAATCAGGTTTACTATTCCAGACTATACCTACTCGTATAAACATGTAACACTTTTAAAATGTCTGGACAAGAATGTCTGGTGTCCACACCACACACATTCCTATATATCGTATGTTGACCTGCCATAGTACGAAGTCTTTACAGTGACAGTTCAAGTTTAGTGATGATTGATATTAAACAAAACATGATATGAAAACAATCTAAAAAAGGTTAAAAAAAACATTTAAAGGTGACTTCCAAACAGTTAACCAACTTATTAAAGAATTAAATGATTTTTTTAAGAATCACTTTTAATATAATAAGATATGCTTCTTATATAATACCAAGAAAATCCGTGTGCGTTTCGATTGCTTCGCCACTATATAGACACAGTAAAAAAACTTCGACAGAAATATGTCGAAATTTGTCAAATCGAAGGGAACGAACCAAAAATTTGTCTAAGTAGAAATAAAGAAGTTAAAGGGGTCTTAATAGGCCGCGCGAACAAAACTTCGAGGATTGCGCGGCCATGGAGATCTCAGCAACTTAAGAGATCTAATTCTTTTTGTCAGTTGAAGACTAAATTGACAAAATTTGTCGAAAAAAGAACTGTAAGCTACAGATTAATATTTTACAAAATATTTTACCCTTAAAGTTATGGCCCGCGCAATCGTACACTTGTTGTTTCTTTATTCTTGACTAGCTGACCCGCGCAACTTCGTCCTGCGTCTCGCAATAGTAATAAATTTTCTCCGTTTTTGAAACATTCTTCATTGGTGCTCCGCTCCTATTGGTCTTAGCGTGATGATATATAGCCTACAGCCTTCCTCGATAAATGGGCTATCTAACACTGAAATAATTTTTCAAATCGGACAGGTAGCTCCTGAGATTATTTCTTTAAAACTTAAGACTTATACAGTAAAACTGTTACAAGAAGAAAGGTCTTAATTTGTCATAACTAATGAAAGCAATAAATACTACCAAAGTTTATTTAATCAGACAGGGCGTTTCCTTCGTTCCTCCACGTTTCGTTCGCGCGCGTTCATTTTATAAGATGATTCTTATATGTAGGTGGGTACTATCGCGGTCGACAAAGTCCACAAGCCCCAAAAACTTGTATTTAGGTTAGTAGGCATATAATTCTATTCTGGAAAAAAATCCATATTAATAGGTTTTAGAATCATTTAGGGCTCTTTTTTATCGAAATGAGGTATCAAAGTAAGCTTGTCTTGCGCGCTTTTTAAGGGAGGTCTGCTATTATTATTAAATTGCAACAAAATATCCACAATGAAATGTGCTTAGAAAATATAGATGTTTGAATATAATACGTGACTGACAAAATACTTTTCTTTTTTTAGAGAAAAGAATATGTTAGGTATGCTAAAGTCTTTCCATTATCCGAAGCTTTGGACTTCAAACTACCTTCTAAATGGTACAGAAGAGCTGTGGGTGGTCTCGAAATATTATTCGGATTGGCTCTTGCACTTCTACCTAGTCGTAAGTATATTATAATAATTTTTTTAAAGGGCTGTTTGCACATTAGTATTAGATGGTACCCGTTAATTATCAGAGTCGTATTGTGATAAGATATTCAGTTCTCCCTTTTGCATAATATGCACGTTGAACTAACAATATCAATGTATGGCCACGTGTGTAACGTATGAAAAATAAGATACGGTTTTTACTATGTATATGAATTGTGCAGTAGCAGTGAACAATGATATTAAAGATAAACATTATTTAACCAAGGTTTACCTTTACCTTACTTTCATACATTCATTACGCAACATATAGATCACCAAAGACCTATAATTCATAGGCACATAGAGGAGTAGCCAAGTTTTCTACCGACACAAGTAGCCATACATTGTTAGTTCACGTCATATTGTGCAAAAAGGGAGAACTTTGAATATGTTATTTTAGACCTACTCAAATACTTTACAAAATACATATCGACGACCTTCAGCTAGGTACATGAACTATTGTATCATTATAACATGTATGAACCTCGAGCTATCGTTCAAATTTATTTCAAGATATTGGAATGAAATTGCATTGACACAGTTTGTCATTTAGTACCTAATGGACGAATGACATAACATATTTCAGCAGTATTAAAATTACTAAAGAAAAATGTGTATTATAATCTGATTAATCAGAAGTTGGAAGTATTATAATCTCTCGAGGATAAGTTGAATATGCTCATTTTCCTTTTTCAGATAAAATTAAAAACACAGCAAACATAGGGCTGCTATTATTGATGATATTGGCAGCATATTCTCACGTGATGGTTGGCGATCCTTTCGACCGCTGTGCCCCAGCGTTGGTGTTCTTCTTTATGCTTAGTGGACGTCTCGTCGTCTGGTGAGCTTTTTGAAATAGCTTGTTTAACATTAATGAGTTAATATTTGGGAAGCACTAATAGTTTAAATAATTCTGCACTTCTGCACGTGGGAAGTCACAGATGACGCCAATGTCAAATTTGTTCTTTCTCAAAAACAGCCATAATTAAATAGTGTACTCGAAAAGTTAAATACTGACAAAGTAGTCGCCGCTAATGATCATGTGATATGTTAATCTTATGAGCTTGGCTCTTATTTATTTCGCGATGTAGTTTGCATGAAAAGCCCATGGGACAAGTTGACATATTTATGTAATTTGAATAATATCGGTATGATTTACTGTAGCATAAAACGTATTTTTTATTTATGATTTTTATTTATTGGTTTGATATTAGATACTTAAGGACGATTCTCTATGAATGTTCACGCATCTATAGAGAATCATTCTTATGTAGTACCTAAGTAATTTTTTTAACTTCTTTTAAGTATTTCCATGAAACTATTTTTTTTTTTGCCATATGCACAAATGTTATAAAAATATGTATATTTATATTATAATTTTGTTGTTTTTTAGAATGCTTATTCGTAATACACAATTTAAAAAAAGGATGTTAAAATGATTTGTAATACCTATTAATAAACTTAACCTTAAAACAATTCAAAATATCTCATTGAATTTTTATAGAAATTGTAAAATAACATTCAATTATCTTGTTTTATACTGTATTATGCACAAAAATAATTGCAAAAATCTAAACGATTCCTTACGAAAGTTCTTTGAAGTTGTACCCTCATGATTGAAAACCCCAAAATATAAATATAAGTAGGTATATTATTAACAGCTTGGCCCACCTTTTGCCTTAAAAAAACCGTAAATGGTTAAGAACGGAATGTGTTTTATACCCGCGTGCACTACGATGATGTATTTGTTATTAAAAGTTTTAAAATCACTATTACATCTGCAATGAAGTTTTGATATATCTATCGAGGGTCGCCTCAAATAAGGGTAATGTACCTTGAACTAATATTTATGTGATATAAACAAGAGTTACGAAATAAAATTGGTGTTATCGCGCCACTCTGGCATTGCCTGGCAACGAGCCAGAGAATCCGCAATGACGAACCACAGTGTCGCGCAAATAATAAATTTTCCAGCCCGATGGGAATATTTATTATTTTGTATATTCTATCGTCTATTAAAATATGTCATTAATAATCAAAATTAGGGTTTAGCTGTCGCCCAGAAATACAAGTGTTTAATATGAACATTATTCACTACGTATTTGAAAAATATTTATTTCTTGTAAATAAAATCAAAGCCGTGAAAGCAAACTATTTATATCTTCTCTGGGCAAGAGCGCCTTGGATTTTAAGATTGCGGCAATGTTATAATATGGCGGTATACTGAATATGTGTGGGTTCTCAATTTACAAAACAGAAAATTACCGTTAACTTTGTCACTAGCCCAATAAACCCCAAAAAGATTAGATATCAACTTTAAATTAATAACTTATTATTTTTCAGGTATCAGATAAGCCGTCGAGAAGAAATGGAGCGATCGGCGGCGACACAGAATGGGAATGGGCTCAAGAGAGAATAACATGGATTTTTTAAATATTCTTGAAGAGCAATCCCAGTGTGCTTCGATGTAGTGCTGACATTATCAGTTGGTTCAATATACCGAATGTGATTTTAGATCTCTCTCCAAAATGACGCGATGAGAGTTTTTATACTAGTCCTATTTATTGCTGTATAGTAATTAATCACACTGTGATTGTATTGTAGAGAAACCTGCGAATTACATAATATTCATCAGCTTATTAATTTTTAAACATCATAAGTTCTATTGAAGTCGTGACCTTCAGTTTATTTAAATATAGAACAGACACGATTTAGTTCATACTATTTCTCTAGGCGACTATGCGCCTTCTATGAATTTGTTAATTGTACCTAAAAGTGATATTAATTTAAGCGATACATGCTAGGTTCATTTTGTGCAAGTGTGAGTGATGTGTATCATGTTTATGGAGATTCATAATGAAAACTGCCACTGAGTATTGATAATTGAGAAATATTTATTGCACTGGAAATACATTGTTAACAAATACACTATAACGTTTAATATTATTTGCTCAATCATACACAATACAAAATAACTTCCAAGCTTTTTAATATTTAGTTTTAAATTAGATTATCTTTCCATAATAATAATAATATAATTACTCATTAAGTAACGCCAATCAGCTTGTCACTCGTGAGCTGATCATAGGCCTTTCCCAATTTACTAAAAGTACCGTGAACATACAAACGATAGGGACGCTGAGTGCGGTGGACGAGCGACTTAAACAAGGATTTTGCTGTTAATTTTCGCGTTAGAAAATTGGGAGCCTGAAAAAAAATCGTAATTTATGTAAAATATCTTTAGACATTTTGAAGCTAACTACAATAGTTTTATTATATGGTATGTCAGTAATAATAAAATATGTGACGTATGTGTCTTGAGTGACGATTTATGAATAAATGACAAGTATAGTGTATTGATTTTATTTCCATTTCTATATACCAAAATATACGTTACAATTATTTACTTAACACTTTTTACGGTCGTCCAAACATCGGCACATCTTCAGTTTTCGGTTCGGTTAAAATCTGTCGTTAGTGCTTATATACTACAGAGACAGAGTCAGAGCGATACATATTTAGAAACACAATAGATAGTATAACAAGAGAATCCGTTATTAGTGATTTTGTACACATAATGCAATTATGAGACGACTAAACACTGCAATTGATGTGTTACTGAGACACTGAACTGAACTGTGTTCTTCTATAAAGAATTTAAAATTCATATTTTAGCAAAAGTTCGAATTTCTTAATTGAGTTCAAGAGATTTTTAGTGTATGACGTCGTGTAATTGTGTATGGTGAAATTATTAATTACTGCACGACATCTTTTTGTCGCCATCCGAACTCAGTTGGGTTATGTGCGGATTTTGTCAGTATTTTAATAGTATTTCGTTAATTATTGAGTGTAATGTGAATAGTTGAATTAATGCACTAATTATTGGAAAGGTTTTATATACACATTTCTTTTAGAATCTCGAGTCATGGTAAATTATCCCGTAGCTCATAAATTACTAAGGTACATGATACATCATTGATACTTTACAAGACGTAGATGCTTACTAGGTAGGTATGTATAAAAGTTAAAAATTAGACCCTGGCATTAAGTACTAGTATCTATAAATAATCCGTCAAAGTCGTGCGAGAACATCCTGCGGGCTCACAGACGGTTGTGAGGTACTCAAGATGTCAGCGGGTAGTGTGGTGTGAAACTGCGCGGCAATATCCGGCGGTCTAGCTCCTGGCAATCGAAGCAGCAATATTGTACTATCTGTTAAACTTTGGGTTTTGAGGCACACGAGATTACTATCTCAGGATGACTTGGACGATTACACGACAGACTAGTGTATACATTTTTTGAGTCGCCAGAATGACCGGTCGTCATTCGAATATGCAAAACGACATTTATAATTATTTAAATTTGTTCCAGCATTGCTTACTCTAAAACCCTTATTTGTGCAAATAAAAAACATTAAATTGACATGAATTTGGGAAAACTGTTTCTAAAGCGACGAGTTTCTCGGAAACCAGCTTAAAAATAATGCTAAAAGATGCTATCCATGGAAGCCCTGGGCAGGTACAGTGACTTTCAAATCACCACGTCTAAAAAAAGCGATTGAATTGAAGGTGTCATCATCAACAGCCTATAAGAGTCCACTGCTGGACATAGGCCTCTCCTTAGAAAGGAGGTTTTGGCCTACTATACCACGCTGGCCAGACGGGTTGGTATAGGGTTTGTTTCAAGTTTTCCTTCTCTTTGCAGTGCTGTTGTCCTGCTTAGTTTGCTCCCTTAGTCGGCTCTTACGACACCCACGGGATGAATTGGGGTGGTGACAATTTGTATTCTTAATCCGTCACCACACGGACTAGGTGTCATAAGGAGAAAAATCAGTGGTTTAATGTCAAAAACTGTATGCGGTCGTTGAAATCGATAAATGGGTATATCGTGCTTCACCTAACCCCATACCACTCGGATTTAAATCCTATCGAGCTCTTGTGGAGGTTTCAGAAATATAAGTTTATTTGATTCCAATTTAGACAAAAAGATAAAAGATTTAGATTTAGATTTTTTGCGTTTAGATTTAAAATTCGACGAGTGGAAACGATGACGACGACGACGATGAAAAAGTTCTACTTTCTTTGAACTTGAAAGTGAAATTCATCTATAATAAAATACTCTAACATCAAAATCGTTTGCTTGTTATAGTAGTCTTCCACTACCAACAATTAAAATTAATAAAATATTGAAACTAGTTTTATGTCCCTTTTTATTTACTTTTAGATTACGTCACAAATAGTTGCAATTTATCGTGAGATTTATCAGACCACACTTCTCCCAGTGTGTAGTGTGCTAAAATTACGTGCTACTTCGTCCCCGCCACTGTCTGTCTTGAATATCTTCGCAGTTTATTGATAAAACTAATTTTATTTAGACATACACAATTACTTCTCGTCCTACACTCGTTTTTAACCCAGTTTTTTCTTCTACGTCCATAGGATAAAAAAGTGCCTAAACAGTTTTCGATAAATAACTCCAATGGTAGGAAACACAATTTTTCGACCTATTTCTTAGCGTTCCATGGATTCACCGTGCGGATGCCGGGCCCATCACGTGAAAGACGGGGGGCAACACATGCGATTTCGACAGCGCCTAGCAATTGTTACCCAGGGAATAGGTTTAGAGAGTACTCCTTGCGACGCGTCAGCGCTCACCTCCACTGCCTGATGTGTTACCCCCTCTACCTAACCATATTTAATACAAGCCTAGAAATGCCACTTTGGATATTCGTTCAAGAAAAGAGCTTACTGAAGCTCTTAGCAATCCAAAGTTTAAGCAGGTTATAGAGCGATTTAGCTGGTATAGCACTTCCACGGCATACAACGCAACAAAATAGTTAGTTATTTCGTTGGTTAAGTCAAAGTACTTGTTTCTTTCTAAAGCGTGGTCTTTAGGGATGTTCGTTTCCCGTGCACCGTGAGTTCTACTAGTACTACACGCTTGATTGACATTTGCATTAAGGATATGTCGGTATTTATAATTGAGTACGGCTTTTGTAAAGTTTTTTTGATGAGCCTTCCTTTACAAACTTGATGCTAGTTCTTATGTTCGTCGTTACCCCTTTTTTTCGCTCTCGTCAGTGATAAACTTAAAGTTTCGCTAATGATTTGAAATACCCTATCATGGCGACGTGAATAATGACCCCGGTTTAATCATCATCAGCCTATCGCAGTCCACTGCTGGACATAGGCCTCTCCCATTGCACTCCACTTAGATCTATTTGGGCTTCTAGCATCCAGATCCTGCAAGCCATCCTGCGCAAATCGTCACTCCACCTGACCTGGCTGTACCTGGCTGCACATAGTGAAAGCCTTTTCTGTACCTTTCCTACCTTACGAGGTTGCTTTGGGGACAGGGCAGGATCGGGGACAGTTAATTAATATTAAACTTTTTAATAGGGCAGGTGAACAATCGTATAAAAGTGTGTGCCATTTCAAAGCTGGTACCATACACAATAATTACATGGACGTCATACTGAAAAGTTTAAAACTCAAACAATGAAATTCGAACTTTGGCAGCGAATCAGATGGGCTCAGATCTTGGTTAACACGGCCGGTTCAATATCTCCATTGATCTAATTACTTTACAAAAATTGCAGTCGGTATTTATTATAAAAGTAATTCCAAGTGTGTTAACATGTATAACCTAAGCCAGAGATTTCTAAAAGTATGATTATATAAGTCTGCTAAAGGCAGTAACAATAAAAAACTATTATATTTTAACAACATTGTAATTAGTATCACTGCATGTAAGCCTAAAAATATATTTATAGTATTATGTTTATGATTTTAAGCCTTCAGCTTGTTTTAAAAGTACAATTATAATAATAAGCGATCTATACATATTCATAGAATTCATGCACCTGAAAGCTTATCCTCAAGCAGGATCACGGCCAGTCTGGGAGCAATTCCAAGGCATTCTTTAAGTTTCCGATAGTCAGTTTTAATGTCGTCGTAGTTCAGGGCACTGCTGGCCCACTTGCAGTATTTTTGTGCTTTAGCAATTTGATCTGGAGTGAGCTGCGCCGTAGAAGAAATATCACCGTAATAAGTAGACGGTTGTGCCACTTGTGGTTGCTGTGACGGATCATAAAGGTATAAAACCACCTGGATTTGGATCTGGCGTATATGGTACTGGTGGAAGTTGTGAGGCCGCTTTCATTGCAGCGTTAGGATCAGGCAAAGAGTTGCTAAAACTGGAGTGGTGCATCAGGCGGTGTTGACGGAGTTACTGTAGGGAAAACTTGAGGCTGTGTTGGCTCAGGGGCAGTTGG